TCTGGAAAGAGCAGTTCATTGTGGGATTGGATGGCAATCTGGAAGTTTTCATAAGGATCTGGTTTGCTGTACAAATACAAATAATAAGGCTGCAAATATAGGGCCTTATTATTTCATATGATGCAAATGAGGACCTTATTATTTGATATAATGCAAATAATAGTTTATAATACAAATAATATTTGATATATACAAATAATATTTGATATAATACAAATAATAAGGCTGCAAATGGTTTATAATATTGGTAGAATATTAAAAATCATTTGTGTTGATCATTATTTTTTTTTAGTTTGTCAATAACTTCTTTTGTGACAAACACGTAAAAATCATACCAATGATCACCCCCTTTTTTTTAAGAATTGTGCCCTTTCTAAGGTGCTTTTTTAATTTGTAAATATAATACAATATAATTCATAGTTCGTGAGATGTTGAACAAGAAGCATGTTAAAAGACAACACTTTACACTTCTTGCTGACTAGCAAAACTTATTATTGATACAAAAGGATTGTACTTGTGACAGGACAGGTAAATTATGTGCATGTGTTACTGTAATGTGCTGTGGGTTGCCAAAACATATTTTCATTTCTATTGATTTTATGTCAGGAAAAGTTGCTTTTTAAGAGATTAGAAAAATAGGATGTGTTTATAAGGATTTTTTTTAATCATATGCAAGACTCTACATGTGTAAGTGTTCAGCATTTCAGAAGCTGACAACATAAAATTTAGTTTTAGGTATAATAAGGACATTTAAAAGATTTCTGTGCATATAAATATTCAAATCCAGATTCATATGAAAAATTTGAAAATAATTTAAATATGAACGTAAATAAGATAAAAAACAATCAGGTAATGTATTAACTTTAATTTGAAGAATCCCTTAATTCTGTTTTTAATTTGGTCATTTCCTCTTTCTGTCTTAAAAACAGTAAATACTTATAGTAAATCTCTCAAAATTTTCTCATTTAAAAATAATTCTCCTTCGCATATTCTTAGATAATGCTGGTGACACAGATGCTTACATAATGCTTCAGCCAATAATAAATTTAAAATCGGGAACTAAAACTTTTAGCAGTCTAGAGATCAAGTTGAACGCTGCTTAAATCATTCTGAACTGGGTTATCATTTTTGACGCATCACATTTATCCTCTTTTTTTTTTTTTTTTTTTTTTTTTTTTTTTTTTTTTTTAAGTGTTGTGAGAGCTTGTTGCTGCTCATTTGTTCTTCAAATACCTTAAAAAAAAAAAAAAAAAAAAAAAAGGATAAAATTTTTTTTAAAATAAATTTTCAAATAAGCAAGTGTTGTGAGAGCTTGTTGCTGCTCATTTGTTCTTCAAATACCTTGCTTATTTGAAAATTTATTTAAAAAAAAATGGGCACGTGTAGCACATAGATCATTAGAGATATTTGTCTTCAATAAAAGCATTGTTTTGCAAATTACAATTAGTTTTTTTTTCCATCTTATAAGTTCTTTTTATTTTACATATTTTTGTCTTTCCTTCAAAGAGAAAAGAGGGGTTATTGAGAGAGAGAAAAGCATTAAAAAATTACATATACTAAATATTCTAATATGGAAAATTTTTAAATAAATAATAATTTTTTAATAATTGCCAAATACAGATGTTGAGTATTTATATTTTTGGAAATAAATGCAGCTATTTAAAATTCTATTGAAATTTCCTTCAGTCTAATTTGAAAAGGGTCCTTGTTATCCATTATCCAAGTATTTATCATGTTTCTATAAGGAAGGCTATCGAACTTCTGTCATTTTTGTTAATTATAAAAAATTTACAAAACCGATCCAATAATCCCAAAAAATGCATAACATTCTGATTTTCATATTTTTATTGTATTTTTTAAAATTGTAAATGCTACAACTTCCAAAATTATGGGTTTATTCTTATTTATATCTCATTTTAATTCTTCATTTTATGCTAATTGAAGACTTTAAAATCACTGTAGAAATTGGGTATATCATCTTTAACATTTCATCATTGTTTGAATTGTTATTTGAAAGGCTGCATCTGCTTCAAGTTCTTCATAAATTTGATTTCATCATCAAGCGTCTACATCATTATTAAAAATATATGTGGTACATAGTTGAGACTAAGGCAATTCTGGATTTTAGATCATCAGTTTAAATCAGGTGAGATTACATTAGAAATTATAAAATTAAAAGTATGAAATAGCTTTTTATGGAAATAATGAAACATTTATGACCTTGAGAATGAAAATTTACAAATAAAGCTCAATATTTATTTGCTGCAGGACAGAAGAGAAACATGCCAAAGTAAAACATAAAACTAGGCAAAGCAACAACCTTGTGTTTGGCATAGATTTTAGTCAAGACCGTATCAATTTTTAGGGCAAACAGGTACAGGTCCTTCTTCATCAGGAGCAAAGAAATTTGCAGTGAAGGGGTTTCCTATGAATGATTTGAGTGATTGATCTCTTGAATGGTTTTGCAGCTGTTCGAGAAATTTAGCATAGATTTTAAAAAGGTTACTATATATATGCATTTCAGCATGTACAGCATTCCAATATCAATTGGCTGAATGATGGATATACAATCTGGAGTAAAAAGAAGATGGATGTTTTAGCAAAATGTTAAATGAAGTATGAGCCAAACTATTGTGTATAATTTGGAAAGTTAAATTTTTGCATCATCAGGTAAACAAACTGATTTCAAATGTTGGTGAGCATCAGGTATGAAATGGTATTCAAACTAAACCATTAATTAATGATTATATCATCCATACTCTTTTATATGGATGATGAAAGACAGGGAAACCTTTTACTGCCTTAGGTTGTATACTTTTTCTGATTTCAAAAAGTTTATATTTCTGCATTCTTGCAGCATTTATGCCTGCCAGAATCTTATTTTCACTTTGGAAACTTTGATTCCAGTTAGCCTTTTCTGAATAGGTTGCTAAAATATTTTGAGACACATATTGTCCAAAATGTTATTCCAGAAAAGAGCTGTGTCTTCATCATTATAAGTTTGTTCTGGAAAGAATTTTTTGCTATTAATGAGTCTGCTGAATCCATCTGAAAATTGTTCAGCTGCTTCAGTGTTAGCTGAAGCTTGTTTGCCTAAAATTTTTAATTGACTTGCACCATTGCGATTTTTTTACTTTGGCTAACCAAGCCTGTTGAATATGTACTCTTAGTTTTTTACGTGCATTTCTTCATGAAACATTCTGGCTTGAGCCATTAGACCCATCAATGGTATACTCTGGCTGCGATGCTGTATTTCTCATTCAATTGTCACTTTGTTGTAATTATCACTTTTAGCATAACAGGTGATTTTTCTGTTATTCATTTAAGTAGTGTCACACTCTTAAAAAAATAAAAATTGTTTTTTCTCTTTCAATGCTGTACTTCTCACATAATTGAGATAGATAAGCTTTTACCCATTTTTTGCTTGATTGACATTGAAAAAAAGCTTTCACTTTGCAGATCCTGGTACAGCTCTAGAATTAGAAACACTTTTCAACAGAATGAAAAATTCAAACTTTTATTTTGATAAGATTGCTATAATAATAATAGCCTGCAAGCATTAATAAGCTGAATTGAATAACAAAATTAAGAAAGAGCACAGTTTGCTCTATTAACTCAACTTGAATTCAGTGAAATATAATTCTCCCTTCCCTGCTGATCCCTTTCTGAATGCCAGCAAAAGAAAACCTCTTTGGCAGGACCCCACTCGAAACAAATAAATTTTAGGGCTTCACTTACATAATAAGTGTCCTCTTCAGCAGGACCCCACTCTAAACAAATACATTTTAGGGCTTTACTTAAACAGTAAATATCAGTCAGAAAAATATCACCCCTTCCCCAAACCACTCAAAATTCAAGATAGTGGTAATGGCCATTGTCAGTACATCAATCAATGTATTTTCGTTGGACTTGGTGTGATTCCCTAATCAGCAGGTGTTTGTGACATGAAAGGATCTCAATTAGCCAAGAGAAAAGTAATTTTTACGACACACCTAGGCAAAGGTGTGTCGTAATAATTTTTGCCTTGAGTGTTATATTTTCCATTTCTAAACTGTGTAAGAAAAAGAAAAATTCTCAAACAAAAAGTGTTGATGGTCCTCATGGTTTAAAGGTTCTATTAGATGGCTCGATGGTTCAAATTTTGGATTTTTGGATTCACTCAAATGCACATATATATACATATATATGTGTGCATGGAGGTGAACCCAAAAATATACACATATACATATGTGTATAATGTGGAGAGAATTTCTTTGAATTTAAGACTTTTCCCTTTTGCTATTTACATATCATTAAAAATGTAAAAATGAGTGTCTCTTAGAATATAGAGCATTTGATAGTTCAAATGTTTCCTAATTACTGATGACTGGGAAATAATAAACTTTTCTAAATTACTGATTTGTATGCAAATACTATTATTAGTAAATCAGAAGGATTTATAAAATAATTACTGAATGTAATTTAGCGTTTGTTTTTATTCATTTTAATTTCTTAAAATTTAAATATTTTTCTCTATTGCTTTGACTGAAATTAAGCATTGCATCTTAGAATTGATGACATCCTAGATTCAAAGAAATGTGGTGTGTATTGAGATGCTGTTATTTCATGAATAAAATTATTTCTTATCTTTAATTAGTCTTATTTAGTCTTAGTTTAAATTTAGTTGAATTTGATGGTGGCAGACCTAATTTATATGCACCAAACTTTTAAATTTTGTATTAAAAAATAAAAGAATTTAAGGAATAAATTTATGTTTTTACTTATTTAAAATTAATCTGAAAATTTGTATTCAGGAATAAAAGGGCTTAAGAAACAAATATATATTTTCACTGTGATTGATTCTTCTAAAATTTTTCTAAATATTTAAAATTAAAACAATTTAAAGAAATAAATTTGCAATTTCATTCTGTACTATTAGTCTGAAAATTTTCTTGAGAATTTTGAGTTGTAATTATGTAGAAGAATGCTAGTTATTGGATTTTAATTGTTTTCTTTTTCAGTTACTGGAAATTTATTGGGGAAAAGATCCATTTGAAGTAGAAGATATAATGTTTGAACTTTATAAAAAATCTCTTGTACAGATGCAGACAAATGCTCCTGAAGCATTTTCATACTGTGTTACTGATATCTATATCGAAATCTTATTAGAAGATTCCTCTCCAGAAACTGTAAGTTCTTATGTTTTATTATTGTACAGATTTGAGCATATTAAAATAAAAAATTCCTACTTTAGTGTTTATCTTTTCCTTTCAGATTAAGACATGTCACAAAAAACTTGTAAATAATTATTTAGAGTTATGTCGGCAAGCAGATGGAGAATATAATTTTACCAAATTGCCTCATGATGATTATATTCATTACTACCTCGGATATCACATGTTTAATGCTGAAGAATATGAGTTATTAGAGAAGGTATATCTTGATCTCGGATTTGTTGAGCAGAAATTAAAACTTACAGATCCAAGAGACCTTTTAGCTGATTATCAACATTATAGGAAATGTTTTAGAAATGTAAGTTTGTGAGAGTCTTTTTGTATAATATTTATTTAAAGTTGTAAGCATGTTATTACTTTTCTGCTTTTTTTCTTTATTACCCTCTTTTCCCTTTTGTTTGCATTTAAAAAATTTAACACTCTGTATTTGTCATAATCTAATGCAAGTATATGCATACAATTCATGGAATATAAAGATTGTATGCTTAACTTAATGGCTTGACTTCTCTCTCTCTCTCTCACCTTTATCTTGACCATGTCAGTAACATTGTATTTACAACTGCAAGCTGCATTGATGAATCTGTTTTTAAAAATTTCATGAACTGTATTTCTTTCATATATGTTTAGCAAATATATGAGCTTAAATTTTATAGAACATTTAAAGTAATTTATTGCTTGAAAACCCAAGTCCTATTTTCCTGAAATACCATCCTTTAAACAGCCACCATTCTTCTGTAGAAATTCAATATGTAGTGGAAGTTGCTGGTTTTAAAAATGCCAATTTGGCATTTTTAAGGAAGCCAAATACCAGATTTTTTTTAAAAATTAAATAGGTTACATGATAAATTGTATATTATCTGCAGTGGTATGTGGATTTATTGCATGCATTATGTAATTTTTGTTTAGTTTATTACAAAAAGATAAAAATGTTTATAAAATTGTGATGCTAAAATGTATTTGATTTTGTATTGGCAATATTTCTGTGTTTCTTTATATTCATGAACTTTGTATTTCAGGAGGATGAGTTAATAAGGTTTGAATCCTTTGTTGAGAGAAATTTTAACAAAATATGTAATAATGAAAATACTCAAGAACTTCTAGCAAATGACATTGTTCAACTGGCACTTTTTGAACCTTCTGATTCCATTGTTTATAAGAAAGCTAAAAAATTAGTTGGTCAGTTAAAAGATAAAGTATGTTTTGAATGGTGGTATGTAATATTCTTTATTCATTTGCTTTTTCATTTCAGTAATATTCCTGTAATTAGTGCTCATAATGAAATTTTTCTGCATTCATTTCCATTTGTAATACTTATTTAAAAACAGTTCTTGCTGGCTTATTTTTCTGCAACAGGAATTTTATTTAATAATGGAATATATTCATAATAGACTCATAATACTGTTTACAGAATATTTCAGTGTTATATTTTATTTATTTATTTAAAATTTTTTTAAAGTAGGTAAATCAGTTTGTCTGAAATATTGATATTTATTATTAATTAATGAAAAAATATGTTCCCAACTAGCATGTATCCTCGCTAAAAAAATTAAAGCTTAAATGTGTTTTTTGTTTGAATATTTAATGCAGAGAAATGTTAAAGAAAATTCCCTTTATCTTTTATCAGTTGAATATGCTTTAAGCTTCAAGTCCATCATTTTATTTTTAGTCTAAATATTTTGCTTCATATAGTTCTGTGGTATTGGTATGAAATTTTCTTTTACTCTTGCTTTAGTTTTAATTCTAAAATCATTTATGAAATAGATAATTTTTTTTTTATTTTTCCCTGTTCCTGATGCTGTGAAAAATGATTTGACTGATTAATTTTATGGTAAAAGCTCAGAGTACGCTGCTTAAACCAAATCGCGAAGGTAGAGCTAAATGACATCAATAATTGTTTAGGACTAAATTGTGATGTCACAATGTATTCTTCAATTTACACTATGTGCATTTACTATTTTCTACTGAAAATAACAATAATCTGTGTTTATTAGAATTGTAAATGTTTATTATTGTAAATTAAAATTAAATTATTTATTTTAATTTACATTTTAACAATTAAGCTTTCATTTTACTAAAAATGAGTACAATAATCTGTTTGTTTTAAATTAACATGGTAGAATAAATAATCCAGCCCCACCATTTATTGAAACAGTAAACTACAAGTCTTGCTTATACTTGTGTTTCAGATAGCTTGAATATTTTCAAAGGTTTTTAAGCTTTGGAATTAATATAAGCAAGGAAATTTTATTAATTTAAATTTCCATTATAGAACTCTTTAATTCTACCATTTTCACAAATGAGTTTATTGCTAAAAAATTTCTTATCTTCTATTAAGTAGGCAATATTCATTATAATATAACAATATTTAAGAGATGAATGTATTAATGAAAAAAAAAAAAAGATAATTTTCTACAGCAAATAAACATCACACATAGCTTTTGTTTCACTACTTCTTAGATTCCTAAATAACGTTATATTGTTCTTGTGCATATTAGTATTCCATACATCAATAATTGGCAGATATCTAATTTCTCACAATAAGGAGAATGAGATAGGAAAATAAAAACCACAAATTTATAATAATAAGCAGTGTTTCAAGTTGAAAATATATAATCATGTTCAATTATAATAGCAAACACAGTGTAATTATTTTAATACATAGTGCTTGCCACTGGTGTTGCACTCAATAAGTAATTTTTCCATTATTATTTTAATAATGCAAAAGTTACTCATCGAACGCTAGTTTGTGATTTTTGCGACTTAAAATTTGACTTCAAGACCGCCAAACTATTGAAATTTATCATATGTCAACAAATATTATCAACATATCAAAAAGGAAACATGAAATCTAATTTAAAACCCAAAAATAATGATTAAAAATACAGTTTACAGTTAATACAATAACAGAAGTGAAAAATACAAAAATGATACATTGCACATAATATACGATTATAATACTGTTTTTCTCTCTGTGTATGCAGCAATCTGTTTTCCCTTAAAAACATTAGAGAATTGAACAAACTCAGCATCACACATAACTTTGCGCACAGCTTCACCACGAAGCACCAGCCATAATCATGACACAACTAGAACAGTTTCAACTTCAACATACACTCTAATGCAGTGATGCCGAACCTATGGCGTGCATGCCACAGTTGGCACACAGAGACTTATTAGCCAGCACGTGACTAAAATATTACTTTCTTAATCAGTAATCACAATAAAATGATACTATGTAATTTAAATAAGTGTTTTAGTCTGTTCTTGAACGTTTCACTTACTTATCGTGTAATGCCACTGGCATAGAGCATAAGCCTAGATATAAGATTTTCATATATTGCCATAGAAAAGATATACTTATTTATTGACCCAATGTATCATGTTTCAATTTTTTGGGCCAATCATATTACTTGTTACATGCCAAAGAATACAAAGTTGAAGCAGCTAATGCTTTCTAAACAAATTCAAATTTATTGCAGACTGCTTGTGAGTTTCAATACTTTCATTGTTAAATAAATTCCAGTTTTCCATTCTAAGCATTTTGAGGTAATTTATGAATAAGTCTAATTTAATATCTTGAACTGAATGGCATGAGGCCATTCCATTTTAGGTGCATGGCCCCAAAAGGGTTCGCCACCACTGCTTTAATGTAATGAAAAGAGGGTTCCTGTTTTCAAACTTTCTTTAAAAAAGGTCAATTTAAAATAACAGATAGCAAACGGAATCACAGAACAAATGACTGAGAGAAAAATATTCCACATTGATTCGAATTCTAAAAAAAAGTAACATTTTCAGAAAAATTACTCAAGGACCAAAATTTAGCTACCATAACAATGTCATTATCTAATAACGAAATTGCTAAATTTGATGTGCTTCCCATATTTCACTTTAGCCAATAATAATAATAATAAAAAAACTTACCTGCAGTCCTTGGCTTTGACCGAATATATCTGTGTCCAGATCTTCGAAGAGCAAACTGATTTCCTCTTTCAAGTAATAATACCTTTATCCTTCGACCTCTAGGTAACTGAACACTTTCCAGCAAACAAAAAGTCAAAATGATCTGTGAAAAACATTTGCTTTAGTTATTTCTAAAAATGACCCCCGTGATTTCAACCAACCTGTAACAGTTTTTCTAGTTATTCTTAACTAAGATCATATAAAATCATTCCTGCCCTAACCAGCTACATATATGTAATTTACAAAACCACACGTACTCAATTTACTCTTTGTAAACCCCAAAATATCTTTGACCAGGCCTTGTAATTCAATTTTTACGTTCGCCTTGCATAACTCTACACAACTGCTCAAAACCATGTATATTTTTCTTTCGCTCAACATATTTCATATTCGTTTCACAAGTAGCATATTTATCTGATCTTGTAATCAATATTTTCTCCACTCAACCATGCTTTTTTTCACTTCAAATATGAAGCTCCAGTTGGCAAAAATTCAGCTTTTCATCTATACTCTATACTGTGGAAATCAACATCAGACGTATTCATTAAAGAATCTTTAAGTCAAAGAATTTTTTCCTTTGTTTTGAGCTGTTATGGTTATAAATTTTCAATCATTTATTCAGTATTTTCAATCGTTTGGTAAATCTTAACATCACAATTTGAGAGCTAATTCCTTGTGTTAAATGTTAACAATAGCACAAAACACACAGTAAAGTAGATTTATAATAAAAATATCTCGCTTAAAAATATTTTAAATTTAACATTTCAACTTAGTTAAAATATAATTTAAATTTTCTTCAAATATGAAGTTAGCGCGTAGCTAGCTATTGTTTGAAAGAGGCATATAAAATATTATGTCTTTTCTCAATATTTCTGTTTGAATGTTAAACTGAATTATTTAAATAAAAGAAATTTAAATAATTCCATATTTGATTAAAGTGAAGTGTACTTCTAATTTATCACTAAAAACAGCATTGTACATTATTTACACTACCTGCTCTTTGTCTTTGGAAAAAAAAAAAAAAACTTTTAGTACTTTGTTGGATTACCTTTCTTTCAAATTGCAATATATGTATGTCCCTATACCCTGCCGTTGTTTCAGCAAGTTTATCCAAATAGTGGTAGTTCTCAGTTTGGCATTTTTAAAAACCAAATTCCAGAATTTTTTTTTTTTTCTTTTTTAATTAGATGGCTCATGTAATAAGTTCTCTATTATCTGCATTGACATAATGCATCTACTTTTTCTTCTATGTAATAAATGCTATATAGTTTAATTCATCACAAAGAGAGATATTTTCGTATAATCTCAACAATTAGTTTTGACAAGAGTTGCATTAATAATTCTCTAAGGGTTTTTTTAATTAATTAAGTAATATTATTTTTATGTGTGTGTGAAGGAATCAAATAATCATTCCTTTGATCCTTCTCCAGTTTATATTTGTAGATTGAATTAGATTGAGATCAGGATTTTCATGGTAGCCAAGCTTTGTATGCAAATAGCCTTATGCTGGCTGAGGCCAGTCTTTCTTAGTTTGAGTTCAGTGAAGTTTGGCATTATCATCCTGGAATTCTTGAGTTCAGAGAGAAAAATCATTGATGGAGTATGATGTTCTCTAACTTTAGGGTGCTTATGGTTAGTTTATTACTACATAGTGCTGTTCAGTCTAGTTCAACCCTCCCCCCCCCAAAAAAAAAGATTATACCTTTTCTGTCTGAGACTTATGCAATGAGTATAATACATAAACACTCTAATGCTTTATATAATTGTCTTCTACCCTTAAAATGCCCATCATGTTGCAAAAATATAAATTTATATTATTAAACCATATAATCTTTTCTTGCCACTCTAAAATTCAATCTTTATGTTCTTCAGCAAATAAATATTTTTGTCATTGTTGCCTAACTTCCAAAGTTGTATATGTGCTTCAGCAAAAAAGTAAATCAAATGTGTATAAATAAATGGTGATGATAATAATTAAGTAAAAACTACTCATCTGAACACCTGCTGTAGCTCTAGTATACTATAAAAAAATAATAAAATTATTTGAGTAAAACTAAAAAAAAAATTTAGAAAATGTCAGATGTTAAAATAAGTGGTAATAATGAATAGAAATGAATTATATAAGTTCTTTCATACAGGGAATTACAGATTGCATTACAGATAGATTATAAATCACATAAACAGTGACTACCGAATGCAAATGTCAATATAGATATTGCATACTGTTACATTTAAGACCAGAGTATTTGCATAATGAGAGATAATTTAGTTCTCTATCCTGGCTTAACTTCTTTCCCATATTATTATGTTTCTCTAACACCTATCTGGGATTTAACTAATCTTAACTAGCTTGCTTACAAATTTAATTGAGGTGTTACTTCAATTCCTTAATTGAAGTAACACCTCAATTAAATTTGTAGTTTGAGTTTTCATCACTGAAATAACTCTCAAACAAACAGACACAAATATATGCCAGCCTTAGGTTTATTCTACCTCACTGCTTGTGAGAGTTAAATTAAAATTATACAGGTACTCTTCTGTTATCAGGACCAGATTCAGAAATGTATGTATATATGCATGTATTTATAAATGTATGTGATCATGTATACGTGTGTGTATGTCTTTACATATGTATATATGTTGCATATACACATTCATACAGACATAAATTTCTGAATCCAGTCCTGATAAAGAAGAGTACCATTATACAACTCAAAATTACCAGTCATTGTAGCTGGCTGAAACACAAACATTCTTTAAAACTGTTATAATTTCAAACATTCTAATTTGTTTTAACTGAGGCTACAATATCCCCTAAGACCAGACTTTTAACTTGCAAACCATATCTATCTGTGTGCTTTCCTATCTACTTCGAGACCAAGGGTGAATTAACTAAGACAGACAAATGCCATGGCAGGCAGCATCGGCATGAATACCAAAACTCTCATATACAGTAATATGCAGCTCTCTACCGAAAAATTGTTTGTCTCTCAAATGTATATAAATTTTAGAATAAGTGAACCTTATGGTGAAATATGGCAAATAGGAAAACTTTTTAATTAAATAAGCATGTAGTAAACTCAATCAAACAATATATAAGCTCAAACTGTAATGTGAAATTCAAACATAATGCCACAATCGTGTTACTCAGGTGGTTTTAAAGTGAAATGCTCTTCACTTAAATAATGAAATAGATTCAGAAGAATGTATCTTAGCAACTAAAGCTTTTAGTTTGGTGGAAATCTGTATATTAGCTCTGTTTGTTCAGAACTAGCAAAAATGATTAAAAATGCGCAAAACATTCATGAAAAACTACTGACATTTACCAACTCAAATTCTTTCAGTTTTGCGATTGCTATCAAAGTAAATGTACAGACGATGAGCATATATATTTCTTTACAGTATTTTTTAATTTTCATTGCTTTATTTATTTTTGTGATAAAATGGAAAATTATGTCTTAACTAAAAGGAATACAACAGAAAAACTTTCATTAATTCAAGGGTAAACAGCATCCAAGCACTCATGATCAACTGGGTATTACTGTAAATGAGTTTTTTTTTCCAGTATTTATATTGCAAGTACAGTCAAAAGTCGTTAATCTGGACACCCATAATCCGGACCTCAAAGCTACAAATTTTCTGCGCATGCATCAACACATATTGCGTTGACGCATGCGTGTAATACCTTTACGCATGCGCATATGTGTGCACACATGCGCGTTTGATGTATAACGGGCGGTATAAGCTAAAAATTATCTAATTATCTATTTCAGTTAATGTTGCAGATTACATTGTTCCTTAATCTTCGAATTAGAATCGGCTTATTATTTTTTGCAGACTGTTAGAGCAATTTTATAAAAGTAAGTTGGAACTTTGGATTATGTCAAATAGAATTTCCGATGCTGGATCTACAAAGGGAAAGCATGTTTCGATGTCCATCAAACAAAAAGTGGAATTGCTGCAAAAAATGGATAAAGGCTCCTTTGTTTCTCTAACCATTCTGAAATCTGTTTATCAATTTAACACTGCTCTGTGTGGAAGGGGGGGGACGTCGCGGCGCGCAATGAACTGGAAATTGATCTGTCAGCACTATCCTTATCTTCAGAGCAGATGTTTTTATTTTATTCGGCTTATAATTCCTTACTAAATGTAATATTTCATCTCGATGTACTCCGTCTTTGATATGATTTAAATCAAATTCATTGTCATTATAAGTATCAAGAATACACATCAAGTAGTTTTCAGGTTGCAATTTTCTAATTTCGACTATGCGTAATGTATGCTTTACGCATGTGCGTTGTGAAAGAAATGTTTAATAAAGTAAACAAATAAATATTAAGCTTTTTTTTTTTTTTTTGTAAATTTTGTTACCCTTTAGATAATAATTGCTCTTTATTTCATAAATTACGGTTTCATATTTTTAATTTTATAATTTCTGCATGCCATCTTACCAGATTTAAACTGATGATCAATAATCTGGAAAAACCGAAAATCCAGAATCGCCGAAGTCCCGACGAGTCCGGATTAAAGACTTTTGACTGTATTATATCAGAATTACTATGTGCAATGTTTGTTAAAAATTTAATATAAAGCAGTACACAGGGAATATGTATATATGAAAGTTTAGAAATTTCAAATTAATTTAATAAAGTATTAAAGTTATGCAGTATTCTATGAATTTAATTAAATAATAAAGAGATAATAGTTAAATAAAGAAAACAGTCAGTCTTTTAATCGAAAGTACATGTGTCAAAACTGAAACAAAAACAATTCAATAAAATCTCTGTAATATTATCTTTGTTATACATATATATATATAAATTTAGGCAAATATATTCTTTTTCTTGAGGTTTAATAGTGTGCATTATATGTATTTAGTTTTTAATATTTATTTTTTGATTTCTTCAGAGAATAGCATTTTCTAAAAATTCAATTTAAGGTAATGAAGGTTCTGTTAAATATGTGCACCTTTGAAAATAAATATATTGTTCTTTTATTCTGCCATTTTGCAGTGTTGCTGAAAACAGTTTCATTTAAGAAAGCAATTAAAGGCAAACAGATGCCATTTTTGAACAGTGCTATGGTGAGATTTGTGCATGATAGAAATGCAGTGATGACTTCTTTTAGTAACCTCCAGAAGGTTAAAAGCTGTATATTACTTCATATATGGGGTGTATGCAACAAGTTTTATTTCTCTCACTTCTTTATTTTATAAAAGGTGAAGAGCTTCCGGACATTTCTTTTAATTTAACTAAGGCAGAAGAAAACAAACATTTGCACTGAAGGGTCATATACTCTATAATTTAAAGTTAATTACTTACATATTATTTGAAGAATGATATTAGTTGTGTTCCTTTTCACTTTTGACATATTCTGAGATATATTCCCAGATGATACTTATATTTGGTTAGTAAGAATGTAATCGTTACAAGGGAGTAGAGAAAAGCTTCGGAAGTAGGAAAAAGGTCACATTTTAAATGTATAAAATGTAAGATATCTCTAAAATGTAGCGGACAAAAATTTTCTAATAAAAAAAAAAGAATAAGTTTTAAAAATTAGTTAAAATGAAAAAATGTACATTTTTTTCTCTTCAGGTTTATGTGTTTATACATACAAATAAGTTTAAATTTTCCTTTCTTTAGTAATAAAGGTATGGATGGCTCTCATTTCCAGAATTTGAGGACAAGGAGTATAGCTGAAATACTGAAACATGCCATTTTCAGTTTTGATAATACTTTAATTGCATCTGTTGGTGAATCATCGAAAATACAGGTAATTCAAATCAATGCATTTTTTAGTTTGCATGCATGTTTGCTTATAAAATTATTGAATAAAATGCATTAGCATCTAATAAATACTTAATACATCTAATAAATATGTGACTCTTATTTCTATATTCCTAATTATTTTATATTATATCTATTTTATATTATTATTCTGCTTTAAATTATTACAGTTGATTTCGGTTAATCAGACCACATCGGGAGGCTGATCCGAGTACACGAACATGTCCTATGTTGTAAGATGGACATGCTATATGTAGCAGACAGTAAATGTACGTGTAAATCATGTACTAAAATGTAATTATGACCTTTATTGTGCGGTACACATGTATGGGGAACATACATGTAAAAAGAAGAACTACAGTCGAACCTTTTTCATTAAGAAAATTAATTTAGAAACAAATTCTAAGAAACAATCTCCACGATACTCAGCATGCGAAGCACAATAAAAACAAGTACTTACCAAGTTCCAATCAGCATTTGAAGAACTTATCCAATGTGATCTGACGCGTTCTCTTGACAAATTGCAAGTGAATGAAATCGCAACAAACGTCTAACGCAGCAATGGGACTGCTTTCATTTTCCCCCTGCATGAAATACCGATGCGAAGTTTCAATGCATTTCCTCGCATCCTGTCTTGTCACTTGCACCAACTTATTAGCGGCACCATCTTCCAATGCTGTCGTGTGTTTGCTGCAACTCGAGCAAGGATAGCAGCATCGTAATCTTCATTTTCATCGTAGCATTGAAGCTTGTTGTCAGTGGATAAAAATCTTTGCAATTTTGTACCTGTTGAAGTTCCATATGTCCGTCGTCATTTTCACTTTCAATGAGCATGCCCACATCCATCTCCAAAACCAAGTGCTTAAAGCCACAGTGAGAAAAACAGTTCTACATTGTCTTCCTGCTCACTTTTCGCCAGCTATCAGCCACAAATGTAACTGCTTGTAAGATATTGACCTTTGCACTGACTTCGCTGGCTTTTGACTATGAGGTCAGCAAACTTTCTTCATTTTCTTCAAGGATGTAATTTACCAACCTTGCATGTAAAGGGTCTTCAAATTTGTGATGATGCCCATGTCCATCAATTGGACCAAAGCTGTGGTCCTGGGAGGTAAAAATTCCAGTTGGATCTTCTTCAAGCAATCTAAATGAGGATGTGCTGCACAATTGTCAAGAACAAGTAACACTTTTCTCGACTGACGTTGTAGCTCTCTATCCCAATTATTCAGCCATTCTTTAAAAAGTTCAAAGGTCATCCACACATTTCTGTTCGCACAATACACAACTGTTAAACTGTCCATCTTAAGTCCTTTAAAGCAAGCGAGGCTTAGTGCTTTTTCCTATAACCAACAGCTTCCTCTTGTTCCGTTTTCTGATGACATGCTTGAGCAACACAAGACAAGTTACGTGCAATCCATTCGCTCTTTTTGGAGCCAGAGATTGCAACATGTTTGTAATTTAACGAGCTGTCCGGTGTAGCGCGATAATACAGCCCAATTTCATCAGTATTTTAGATATCATCTGCTGAAAAATTTTCAAGAAGCTCGGGCAGATTTTTTTGATTTCCATATTTCAGCATCTGCACTATTAGCACTTTTTTCTTGCCATGTGCTTTCTTGAATTTTATGTCATGTTTAGATTTCCATTGACACAACCAACCATCTGTAGCTTTAAAGTCAGCATGGTCCAGCTTTATAGCGAGTTCTTCTGCTTTGTATTTTAACACTGGGCCACTTACTCGCACAGCTCGTCCAGTAACAATGGCAAACCATTCATTAAGAGCCTCATCGACGTCTGGATCCTTGCCTTCACGCTTCCGTTTTTTGGAAGTCCCTCCTCGTCCTTCACATTTTGCCCATTCTTCTCTCAGCTCATTCTCTTGTTTTATCAAGAGCAAAATTGTAGTGTTTGCCAATCCGGTAATTTCCACCAACCAACGCTGACTAGCGTTTCGCGGTTGTTGCTTGATCTTATCCAGGAAACCAATTTTTTTAGCTAACGTCAAGTCCCATTGTTGCATTTTGGCAGGGAAGACAAGAAACGTGCACAGTTCACTGTCTAAAGTGGTCTGAGGAAACCTTGGTGTTTCGGGGTCAAGATGTTGAGGTCAAGAGGGAGATAAAATGCTCGCCATTCAAAGCTTCGGCACTAAAATCATCCCCAAAAGGTGGTGAAATGATAGCTTTCTCGTGTAAACTTTAATCATGATTGACAAGCGGGAATTCCTTTCAGGTGGAGCCGGACACTTTATTGTTCATTTCCTAGAAAATCGGAGACTATATAGGACCAATAACCTCGCTGGTGGCTACTGGTGGCTCTGTTTTAAGATAGGTCAAAGAAAATGGTGTATGTGTTCACCTCCCACTGATTTTGCTCTTGTCATGCTTTTTAAGGTATTCCTGACCTTTGATAAAGCATTCTCCTGGGGATCGCAGCTACATATCCTCCCATATGTCGCGGACCACCTGTACATCCGCTGTACATGGCCGATTTGTAGCTTCTGTTTCTTATTCGCTCTCACGTTTTTTCGTTCGATTAAACGGAATTTTGATCCAAGTAGGCGAATTATATTAGGCTTATGTACATAGGATTTCTTTCGGTTCTTTAGGATTCAGTCCGAAAAAACGGCTGGTCTGATTATCTGGTGGTCCAATTAACTGGATTCGATTGTACTTTCTTCTGTGCAATACTAGTGGCCAAGTTGCACAAACTGCTGAGTACTGGTAGCTTGATCTGCTTTTGAACCCATGGTCATATGGCTGTTTTTCATTGGTTTTTCCATGTTGAATGTAAATATGAACCATTTTCCTTTAAATATCATCTACTAAAGCATTGCTCCCCTGGATGTGCCTCTCCCAGGATGTCTGCAGCTTTGAGATATCTTGATGTCTCTTGGGATTCCACAATCCTTGAATTTCCTTTCCGTGAACTTGCCATCAATTTTCCTCTTCATCTTCTTGGTTACTATGTTGATTTTTATTCTGGCAAAGTGGTGAACATCTTCTAAATATACCTGCAGATCATCTAAGTACTGCATAGGTTAAAATGGTATGTTAAGTGATTGTCCGAAGCGCAGGTCACAAGGCAAAATGAAGATCATGGCCAGAAATGTTTTGTGATGGAGAAGTTGCTGCTATGAAAATCACTTCTGTGCGATAGTAGGAATAATGGTGATTTTTGGGCCCTGATCTCTGGGATAAGAATAGAGAGAGATGGTCCAGCATTGTGTGATTAAATCTCTCTACCATGCCTTCTGCATAGTTCTTTTAAGTATTGCAGAGTGAATAAGAAGAAGCACTCCAAATTGTGAAATATAATTTTCTGTTAAAACTTTTGCAAAGATTGAAGTTTCTTGATCAGGGATGGTATAAGCTTCTGGCCATTTATTAAAGTAATCAATGACAGGATGTACTTGTTGCCCTTAAGTATACAAGGTAAAGATCCTAGAATATCCAAAGCAATCTTTTTTAATGATGCTTTTGCACTGTAGAGGTGTAGTCTTCCTCATGTATGTGATGCAGACTTTTTTGAGCTTCTAAAGGAGCATTCAAGCTTCCATGTACATCAATGACAGGATTTGCACCACTTGTCTACATCTGACTTGGCCTTGTTCCAGAAAAAATGTTTGTGAACTTTATGAAGTATTTTCATTACACAAGAATGACCTCCAGTAGATCTATGGAGTTCTGACAATACACTAGGGACTCGAGATCTGCCATCTAAAAGTCTTTCTGTCATTTCTTGCTTGCTGGTTTTCTTTGTTCTTATCTTTCATTAATTCTATTAATAGTCACATTTCAGGATCTTCTATTTAGAGCTTTTTAAATTAATTGCTGCTCCATAGATCAACTTCTGATGTTACAGAGTTGGTGTTGATTTGTCTGATCATTGGGTCTTCAAAGCCATATTTTCATTTGGCTTTCAAACAGTGTTTGCGCTTTTCTACACAAGGCTTTGTTGAAAGTACATTAGCTTTTCCATGTACCGTATATACCCGCATATAAGTCGACCCCCCCCCACTTCCGAAATCGATCGAGAAACTTTGAAAAAAATTTTTTAAGTACTACATTTATTCAGAATCATCTGAGAAAAAAATGTAAATATACGATAAAAAATACCTTGGTAAATAAACAAAATCAAAATCCTTCAACGTCCGATTCATGGTCAGATTCGCCAAACATTAATCAAAACTTACTCTAGTTAAAGTATGAAACTCTGTGATTAGTTCGTCACATAATTTAAGTCATGAAATTACTTCAAGTAAGTGACTTATTTGATAAGTCGTCCAATTTGAGTGCAGGAAGAAAACAACTGCATTATATAATGAAATTTTTTAACTTCCGATTCTTTTAATTTTTTATGGCCCTGCGTATAAGTCGACCCCCCACTTTGAAGTCTTTTTTTTTTTTTGTCCAAAATATCTCGTCTTATACGCGGGTATATACGGTAAATTCTTTTCCAATATAGAATTTCCATGTTTCGTTCCTGTATCCATCTAACCACCTACCCTCTGGATATTTTAAAGTAAGCAACCATCTTATGAGTCATGATAGGTGCTCAAGAGTAATTTACAACTGTAGAGATAGTGGTGGAAATGTTCTAACAGCTCTATTTTGATGACACAGTAACTGCTTTCGGCTTCGACAAGCCTTTACTAAAATAGTAAAACATGTTCTTGGCCATCAATTCCTTGTTAAGGAACAGCTCATATTCCTTCAGTACTGTCGTATGTATTGGGAATAAAGTTGTATTCAGATTTATGGACATAGGAATTAAATTCAGAGTGTCTTTCAAGGTTTAAATGCTTCTTCACGCTCATCTGTTCCTGGAAACTTTTGCTTTGCTTCTTTGTGGTTTGAAGGCTATGCGATTTTAGAGAAACATTTGATTATAAGTACAGATACTGAGAAAGCTTCTTAACTGATGAATGTCTCGAGGGTGATATCAGTCTTTGGTGGAGATGTATGATCTCTCTTTAAAATAATT